TCATTTGGTGATCGTAGTCTTTGATTAGACCCCCTCTCAAAATAATACACATCCGTACGAGTGCCGTCTGGCCTTGGAACAGGTTTACGAAGCCAAGTTACTTGTCTCAATGTAGATTGAGTGTCAGTGCCAATTGTAGAAGAAGGTACATTGGTATCGGTTCTTTCCTCTATTTCAGGAAAATAGCCAACTGGAGTGTCAGTAGATTGGAACTCTATCCTTTCTTCAGATTCCAAATCAGAAAGGGTGCCCAGTGCAGCTCCACTGCCACTTTTCTGCATTCCAATCGACTCTTTAAAAGTAGCATTTAGGGTTTCTACTACCTTTTGCTCATTTTCCAACCAAATCTTGTACCCTTTTGTTCGTACACTGTACCCAATCAATCGGCCCTTCGTTGCCTTTGGATCAAGTTTAGAATTTCTTTTAGCCTTTGGAATTCCCACATAGGCAATCGTTCCAAATGCCTTAAGATGACGTACTGATGGTTTCCGCTTAGTGTATAATTCGAATGGGGTTCTATCTTGGCCCTTATGACAAATTCTATTAAATGAATATGCAAAATACATTACTGCATCTGACCAAAATTCGGAACTCATTCCACTATCGTGTAAGATTGCACGTACATTATTTGAGAGCTGTCTGATTAAATCTCTCACAAACTCCATTCTGTTCTGGAGTATAGACATCTGTAAATTCGTGCTTTACACCATTTTTATTACAATATGACCTGAATTGATCATTATCATATTCTCGCCCATTGTCAGTCCTAAAGTATTTCAATCTAAGGTTCAAAGATCTTTCCGCACGTGCTATATGCCTTTCAAATACTTCAAAACACCTGACTTTTCTCCACAATGGGGTACACTACCACATAACGAGAATATTCGTCAATAAAGGAAACGAAATAACGTTCACCATTCCTACCTGGAATGTTAATAGGTCCCCATACATCAGAGAAAAACCCTTTCAAGCGGTCTCTTTACTTGAATACCTTCTAAGGGTCTATAGGAGATTCGTCTTTGCTTATTGATTTGGCAATGTTCACAAAACAAATTAGGTGAGTGCTTTAACACAGGAAGACCTCGAACTGAATGTCTCTTACTAGTCCTGACAATAGTATCATAATTTATATGACCAAACCGACCATGCCATAATTCACTATTATTATGCTGAACTGTGGATGCCTCAAATTTTACAGATTTGCCCCCCTTTTTGATATTTTTTCGGGAACACATGATAGTTACTTCCTATCAACTTAGCCTTGTACAAAGTTGAATTCTCATCATCAGTAACTTTAATTTGCCCATTTTTACCATAAAATCTTGCTCCATTGATATCCACCCTAGGTCCAGATATTAAATTTCGTCTCAGTTCAGGTGATATAAACACATCTTTAAGCAAAAAAAAATAACCGTATCCCCAAATTTCATTTTAACAGTACCCTTCCCATGAATTGGAAAAGTTACCCCATCAATAGCTACTAGCATATTCTCATTTTTCACAGGAGAAAAAGTATCAAACAATTCACGATTTTTACAAAAATGATGAGATGCAGCCGTATCAAAAATCCAACTATCATCATTTTCTTCCAAATTGTTAACATTGGCTTGAGCTATAAAATGGGACTGTGCATGGGAATTATTTTTACTTTACTCAACTTGGGTTTATTCTTACACTTAGAAGATGTTTTATTACTACTAGATACAGCTGAGGAAACAGAAGAAGCAGGTGAGGGTGATCTGGAAAAATTACCTCTCATTCTACAGTATTTTTGAATATGACCTGGACGGCCACATTTATAACACTTGAGCCCTTTAATCTGCTTAAATTTGGGTTCACAGTGAGTACTTTGAACTTCTATAGTCTTATTGGAGTTTTCCCTATCTATCTCTCTTAAATTAAGACGCGTTTCCTCTGCTAGAATTTCAAGTTCAACATTTTTAAAAATGAACTTTTCATCTGGCCACCTCAAAAAATATTCTGAACTACTTGATCAAATTTATCTGGAAGGAACCTAAGAAACTGGAAACATATATATACGTCTCTTACAGCCTGATTAATATCAGCTAACTGTTCAGTTACGCGTTTTAATCTAGAAGAAAAGAAACTAATACTTTCATTTGGCTTAATTTTGCAATTTAAGAACTCTGAAAACAGGGACATATGTCTTGACCGATAATCTGGCTGGAAATATTTGGCAAGCGTATTCCATGCCACTACCGGGTCATCAATTTCACATATCAAAATTTCTATATTCAGGGCTTACATTCATATAAATTAACGATAATGCCAATCGACTTCTATTTTGATAGTCGGCAATAATTTCTTTTGTAATACCCTTAACATCATCTAAATCAGGACATTTTTCAATACCTTTGACCAAAAGCCATGCATTTTTTTCATTCAAGACAAACTTCATATCTTTGGACCATGTAAAATAATTACATGCATCAAGTTTAGCAATATTATGCATGACACTAACAGTAGCCATATTTGAATTTTAACAAAAAATCGCCCCCCCCCCAATCTCTTAAGTCCTAAATTAACTTTAAACTTCAAAAGTCTGCACTAAAAATAACTCAGGAGCTGGTGGCCCATAACCAAAATGATGCTAAAGCAAAGTTTAAAGTTTAAAGAAATTAAACATTTAGCAGTAGTAGCAATGAAAGCTCCCTGAGATATGTTGTGCAGACATTGAAGACAATAAAAGATTTTGAACTTAACCAATTTATTAACAATATAATAAAGAATAAAAACACAGAAAATAAATGTCAACAATATTAGAGTCTTAGGAAAAATATAATATAATCATCATTCATCAAATATTTTTACCTGGTCTCCAAAACACTGGCATTCTATACAAAAAAATGTCCTAAACAGTAATTATGCGGCCTAAAAATAAAGCTGGCTACCACATTCAATAAGTCCATAATCAATGGTCAAGAAAAACACCTGAAAATTTAAATGAAGTTCTTGAAAACACTTAAAAACCGGCCTAACTCCGTTTGCACAAGGAATCGCCGCTCACGTATTTTTAATTCCGCCTTCATTGAAGAACATGGATGCCGCCCACGGCAGTCACTCACATGGTAGCCTCTGGAACCAAAGAACTTTATTCTGGAACCATCATCTCGCAAACCGGAATCAAGGCATTTTATTCACCGGACTGCATGCATCCTTTGAAGGGGCTGGAAACCGCTCACTCAAGTGCCGGGAAAACCAGGAACTAGAAGGGTTGAGCCAGAGCGACGCGAGATACTTATAGCAGAAGTAGGAATAACGTCATCTCACGGCAATCAATCAGCTATCGGCACGAATCGGCTTTTCAGATGACGTAAATCATGTTTCGTTTTTGCATCTCAATTAGGTTGAAACAGTCCGTTCTCAATGCAAACAGTAGCAGCAAGAAAAAGAAGTAGAAGTAACTACTATATTACATTAAAATAAGGACTAAACTAAATAAACATTTCAAGGAGGAGAGATGATGCAGTAAAAGGTTTAAAAATAAGCTATATTTTCCAATTTGGGAAGGCATTCCAACCATTCTCACATTCGTATGGCTTTAATCAGGTGAGATATTGATTAGAAAATCTGAAAATGCTAATTTCTGTGCTCGTTCTTCTGAGTAGCAACAATCTTGTGTGCCTTTGATAAAAATCTGCTTTATTTCGAGAAGTGTTGTCACTGGTCACTCTGAAATCGCCAAGTTTGTTAATAAAAATTTATAAGTGTTGCAAAATATGAAATAAAAATTGCCAAACATTAAATATGTCCTTATTATATAATGTCATATTCTGACATTAAAAAAGACATGCGGATTCATGTGACGTTATTGTATGTCGAAATTTTTCGTTAATATCAGCATTTTAAACAAATAGCTGCTTCAGTCATACTGAAATGTTTTTATGCACTTTCTTTTCAGGTGTACATAGAGCTCATAAATTTTGCTTTGGTCACAGATAGCAACTTTGTATTAATAGAAGCAACATTAAATTAACCGTTTGAGTCCAGCGCGCGCTTCACTTGTCGTATGCCAAAAATACGGTGCAGCGCGATAGCTCTTCTCTTGTTTTCTATCAAGAATGTGAAGACGCTGCTGTTGGTTAGTATACTTGAAAAAAAAATTTATTGAAAATTGAAAAAAAATTATTGAAATATTCAATTGGTTTCGCATCAGGAGGAGGGGCATGTTTTGGTCCAGGTACTTCAGAAAAAGTATTCGATTCGTTCGAAAAAATTGTATCCATGGGTAAAAACTCATCAATAATATCGTCATCGGAGGTGCTTGCAGTTACTTCATCATCATCACTGCTATCACTAATAACTCGGAATCTCTTAGAACGAATGATGTCACTTCCCACTATCACTTTCAAGGTCATTACTATACTCTTCATTATCACTTCTCATAACATAGTCACTTTCAAATGAATCAGAACTTGACATGGGTTATTTCGTAATTATCAGTATAACACTTGGTAAAAAAATGAAAACAATTTCCAATTCCTATAAAACAACTGCTACTGATATCGCTATAACTGCTCTCAATAATTGCGTAAAGTATACCAGCCAACAGCAGCGTCTTCGCATTCTCGATACAAAACAAGAGAAGCACTATTGCGCGGCGCTGTATTTTTGGCATACAACAAGTAAAGCGCTTTGCCGGACTCAAACGATTAATAGTTCATTTTATTTTCAGTTTATAAAACTTATAAATGTTGCTTTGGCCATAGCTTGCTCATCTGGCGGGCTTGCCAGCTAGTCTAAAATAATTACTGTTGAATGCCCTTTTGTTTCACTGTCAGTTTGTTGATTTTTGAAATATTAGTTCTTGTCCTCAAATAGAAATAAATCAGTAAAACAAATCTTCAGAATCCAATGATGGAAGCAGCAACTGAAATTCTTTTTATTCTACGTGAAATTGCTTTTTGTTGAGATTTCATTTATGCTATGTTATTGTGAAAAATATGTGTCATAAAAACTGATCCTTTTGTATTTTTTAGTTCTGTATCATGTAGGCATTGAAGGTGGCTTTGAAATCGGTTCTCCTGAAGCATCAGTGAAATGCCTTATTACTACAGTACCTCAAAACTTAAGAAAACTTGACCCAGAACTGCATTGTAAGTGATTTCATGTTATTTCTTCTTTTCAGGCAATGATTCTGAAATTTCTTTGGTAAATTGGAAAAGAAATTTTTTATGCAGTTTGTAATATGATATTATTAAAAGGAGTAATTAAGGTATAAAATCTCTTAATTCAATTTTAAATCGATATTAGCTTTATAAGAAGAGATAATTGTATGTATATATATATTTAATTGCCTGCCAGTGGCTGAATGGCTGACTGCTGAATGTGTATAATTCAACCAGGAATAAAATTTTTGCATGGATTTTTTTAAGGTTTTACCTATGTGCTACATAAATGCAAGCTTTAATAAGTCTTCCTCAAAGGTATACCTGCCTTAAATCTCATAGCCTTGGCATGCTTTGCTATAATCTAATAAATCCAGTCTTTTATTGTGTTTTCCGAATACAAGTTTGGCACAGATAAGCTATATATTGTGTTTTCATGGAAATTTCTCACTATTGCAAATATCATTTGCGAAAAAAGTTTGTTTAATAATAAAAATGTTTTAATAATATTTTTTCAAATGATTTTTGGCATTTGAAAGAAAGAAACTTGCTTTAGAAAACTGTGTTATGAAATTTATAAAAAAATATCGTTATCATTAAGTACAAGGTGTCTGAAATGGAACTATCATGCTACCAGATTAGAACCATCATTTACTTCCAGTTCTGTTCCAAAAAGTCAGCTATGCATATCACCAAAATCATGTGCGCAGCTTTAGGTACTAATGTTGTATCATATGACACTGTGAAGGTATGGTACTGAAAGTTCAAAAATATGACATTCAAGAAGCAGAGTACTCTGGCAAGCCTACTGATGTTGATGAGGCCCACCTATGAGAACTTGAGGAGGAAGATCAGTATGGAACCACTCAAGAGCTTGCTAAGGAGTTAGACATTAATGCCGTGTCCATTAGTCATGCTGTGCATCGCATAAATTTGACATAAAAGTTCAATCGCTGAGTGCTGCATGAGCTGATAAGGACAGACCTGTTCAGGCCTGTGCTAATCTGCTCAAATATCAACGGAAGGACAAAATTCTGGACTGCATCATCCATCATCACTTGTGATGAAAAGGGGATTTACTTCAACAACCCAGGCTGAAAAGAAGAAATCTGTGAATTATCTGAGAAATATTTTTTTCGGAAGCTATAAGCAAACAAATTTAAGTGCAGTTACATCCATCAACTGTCTAAAGTCAATTTGCATCCAGTTTTAGGTTTTATGCCAAATTAACCTTCTTTAAACATGAGAATCCTAATGTCTGATATTTTTTTCCGTCTTCAATTAAATAATAGAATTCTGGACATCTGTTGTATTTAAATACAGCAAGCATCTTTAAAACCAGGTCTGCTATGTTTTATGATTAATATTTGTTTTTGGCCCTCTTTTTTTTTTTTTTTTTTTTTTTTTAATTACCTTTAAAACAAGATCACATTGTATTTCCATGTGTATAAGCTGCATCCTTAATTTTCACTTCTAATATTTTTGGAGACAAATTTCTCGAAGATGAGCCGCGAATAGCTCGTCTACACCTGCAGTATTTTTTCCTGGGGGGGGGGAAGATGTAAAAGCAAGTAAAATAGTGCATACAACACACTTAGACAAATTTTTATTATTAATGAAAAGAAACATGTTTCTTAGTTTTCCAGTATTTAGACCTCTTATTTTCTGTCCCTGTCGGTTCCACTAGAATAGTTACCTGCAAATTTGTATCACTCTCCACGGGTGTTCCACATTTTTTAAAATCATTTAATCATTGTTTCAGTTTCTTTCATCACAAGTGATTTCCTTTCTCAGGCTGCCAGAATCAATTCTCACACCTATTGCACACTAGGACATTTTATTCTTCGTTTTGACATGGTTTTCTGTACTCAAACAATTATTAAATCTCTGGAAGGATTTTTTAATGGAGCAATTTACAGTAGCACCGAGAGGCTGGAGCATGGAAATTAGGCTTCCAGGAGCCACAGCTGCATCAGTTTTTAACTCATTTAATTTCCCCTTCACTTCACTTCCAATTGAAGTTGTCTGACATTGGAAGTTGCCCCAAACTAACAAGCTCTTAGGTTTCAACAAATCATGATGTTGTCTGTTCCAAACTGTTTTTAGCTAGTCCAGTATGAGATTCTCTTGCATCCCCCTTTCCCTGTGTACAAAAATACTGGCAGTATGTCTTTGGCTACAGTCTTTTTTAACACAATGTATGGTGGCTGTTTTCTTCCATTTTCTCACCAACTGCAGTCTTAATTCTATTGCATGTGAGCTTGTTGTTGTAACTGTACTAGACATAGGCATGTCCCTGTAAGTGAATGCTTGACTGCATTACCAATTTCAGACAACATATAGCCATTAGCTTGTTGCTTGCCAATAATTATGTTTAGATCTCTGATATTTTTTAGATTTTGTTGTTAAATTGTGCCAGAAGACATTGTGCAGTGATATTGTTCTGTGATGTAGTAATGAGTCATTCCAACACATACAATGCACGTAACATCTGCACTTGTTCAAAAATCATGGCTTATCTCCATCCGATCAGCTTGGAAGTATATCATAGAAGGCATTACAGCATAACTAGAACTTCTTTTCTTATTCACATACGATGAAACCTTTTCTTCCAGCTGTGGATACATTTCACAAAATGCCTTCCTCTTGTTTCTTGAAGTTCATTCTTATGCTTTTCCCACTATCACACGTTGGATTCATCCACATCAAAATGATATGCTACTGCTCAGTTCACATTTTTCCCAGAGAATTTGATAACTTGTAGTTTAAAATGTGCATTGTAGTTAAATCGTTTGCTTGACATTTTCTTTCTTTCAAATGACTTGCAATGTCAATTAAACTTGTACTCTATGTAACATTCACCCAACAACAATGGATTTTACATTCAGTCATTAAAGATGTGCTGCTATGTTGCCATATGTTTGTATGTGCCTATTTCTAATCATTTGCAAGTATAAGCCACATTCCTGATTTATGTCTGCTTTCTTGTGAAAAAAGTGTGGCTTATACATGCAAGATACAGTAATGCCAGTTACCTTGAAATGGGATAAGTCAGCATTCAAGATGTCACTTGAAACAGCTGGTTTAAAAGATTTTATCAAAAATGATTAACTTCTGCTTAAGTAACTGTTTTTATTTTTAATAAAATGAATCCAATTGAATAGAAATTTCTAAAGTATGAAATTTTAAGTAAATAAAATTTTAATTCATTTGTATTTTAGTTGGGCTATATCTCATTGTATAAATTAGAAGATAATTTAATTTTTGAGTATGTAAAGTTTTAATGGAGTGGTAAATAAATATTTTTTTCCTCTGACTTTTGAGCAGCATTTCTTACTATGACTATTTGGTATAGTCTTTTTTTTTTTATTATTGTTATGTTTAGAAATTCTATTTTAAATAAATTATTCTTTCGATTTGATGTGAACTGTAAAAATAATTAATTCCATTAATGCATAAAGTATTTACTGTATTTATTACATTTATGGCACTAATTTAACCTTTTCTTACAGTGGATCAGAAGATACTTCAGCATCACTTAGCAGCAATACGTCATGCTCGTTGGTTTGAGGAAAATGCTCATCATTCAAGTATTAAAGTTTTGATCAGACTTTTCAAGGATCTCAGAAATCGATTTGAAGGTTTTCAACCTTTAAATCCTTGGATTCTAGATTTGTTGGTACTAAATATTTATTAAAGTATTCTCTTTCAATGTTTTGGAGGTAATACTGTGTAAATGATATATTGAAAAGAAGCGTATCAGTTTGAAAATATAGGCACAGAATATTTTTGTCACTTGAAGAAGAGGGACACATGCTGGTCACTGTAAAAGTGCAAATTTTTTTCTTATAAAAGCAACATCTGTCTAAGTTTAAATTTCATTTATGAAGGGAAAAAAAAAGAACCTTCTTAAAGTATAAAAAACATAAATTATCTAAAATGATAGTTTCATATGGAATTGAAAGTTTTTGAGCATTGGATTTAAGCTGCAGATGAAGTATTGAAATTTTATTGTTTTTATTCCATAGCATGATAACAAGGTAAAACTTTTAGAACGCCTTGATTAGGTTCTGTTTAGGTGTGGGTTTGTATGTAAGATATAAAATATGAAAGCATGCTACTGAGTTTTGCAATAGCTCTTTTACTCTTTGTTTCAATTTGGACATTTCTCTCTTCTGCCCTAAAAATAGAAACTAGTAGTATCAATCTAAAATGCATCATTTCAAAATTGGTTCACATCGTATTATCTTGTGTAACACTGTAATGTAGATATCTTTTCTCCAATGGGATTAAAGATTTCAGTTGAAACTGAAACTTTTTGATTCTATATTATCACAGTTCTTCAGAATGTGTAGTCCTTTTTCCCCAGCTTTGCTAACATGCAGTGCTCGCTTCTGTATATCTTCTATTGTCATAAAATGAGCTACCAAAAATAGGGAGTACGTATCGCACATGTATTGATATGAATCGGATTTTGAGGCTTAAACATTAGCTCTATCCAATGATAAAACTGTGTAAATCTACGGCTACTTTTGTATGCAGATGTCATCATCTACTGAAGTCAAGCCTTTCCAAGTGACATCTATGCAATAAACTGTCTCCAGTCTACTACAGTCATCTAAATTATGTCAGTCAACCTTTACATGGCTGCAGTTTTTTTTATTATTTATTGATTTATTTATTATTATTTTTTAAACTTCACTTTTCTAGTCAGAGGAATCAGAATTTACCAGTTACAGGTCTAATGTTTAAGAAACATGACCACAAATTTTATACTTGCATTGATATACAGTATGCCCAAGTAGCATGTTCTTATAATACACTTGTCAAAAGTGAAATTGCAACACCATGCAGGAATGTGCATAATAGTGTGAAAATAACAGGATTGATAGAGGTAAGACACATATGCAGATGATTAAATAAATAAACAAAGATATGAAAAGTTAAACTGTTTATTCAGTATCTGATGTGACCACCATAGGCAACTATACAGGCTTCTAAATGGTGAGCCTTACCAGGGATAAATAGAAGGGCTAGGTCATTTCTTTGTTCGACTCCTGCCTCAAATTACTGGGAAACCACTTTTTAGCTAAAGGGTCTTCATTGGGAACAATATCTAAAAATAGCAATGAACCAATATTTATTCAGAACTGAAAATTCTTGTCCTTAAAGGTTTGACCTAAACCCATTCATGGATGAATACGTTACGAGTTCAAAAACAGATTTGCAGTTCATGTACACTTATCTAAAGGGAAGCATATAATTGCTCTTTAATTAAAAATTGGAGAAACATTACTGAAGTTAACAGAGAAGCCCATTCATTTTTCCAGTGCGAATTTTATTAGAATACGTCTCTTAATCGAAATGCATATTTTTCCAAGAAAGCAACCCAAAAGGCAAAAAAGTGGAGCTTAAATGTGGCAGCCAATAAATATATTTATCAACTGTAGTTGCAATATGTTTTGATTTGAAATATTTCTAAGATGACATTTTAGAAGTTAATAGCGTAAAGCATATTTAATGGGAACTAATTTTGTTATTGTATCCTGCATTCATTGATTCGATTTTGTGTAGCTAGCATTCTAGAAAAAATAGATAGAAATTAAAGCCATGTCAAAGAAAACACTTGTCTCTAACCCCCACTTTTGAAAAATTAAATAATTTTTTAGGTCTGTGAGTAAAAGTGTTTGTCTAATTAAGATAACAATCTACATTATTTATTAAATGAATATTGATGTAAGCCTAAGTTACAAATTATCTAAAAAAAATAGTTATTATATGAATCGGTAAAAATATGCTAATGTAAATTTACAATTAGGCTGAAACCGAACTTTGATTAGCAAAAATTTGCCATATATACCATACATGTATAAAACTAAAATTTAAGGTGATTTTGATTTGACTGCCAAGTTGTTTATTTGATTAATTTTTAAATAGCTGTTATTATAGTTATCTTAGAAGCAGAGTAGAGTTCTCTTAGTTAACATGCAGATAAAGAAATGATTAGAAATAAACATGCATTTAAAAGAAAAAAAAAATCCCTGCAAATTAAAAAAAAAGGAACTTTATGCTTGTAGCACATTTTATCTGTTATTTTAAAATTGAGTAAGTACTATTAAATTTTTTAATGTTCAGTGCAAAATGCACACTGCAGTAACACTGTCTCTTCTAAATTATAGCTATCTTTCACACACAGCTCATTTTTAACGCTGGTTTTTCAAATTTAAAATGCTAATTTCTATGTTGTCAATTGCATCTCTGCGCTCAGTGTCATCATGGCTACGTAATCACTCCCCACTGTCTGTTTCAGGGGGAAAAGCTCTATGAGCTAGCCCTTCTCTTTTAAAGTCCTGGAGCCTTACTATCTATGAGGCTATTAATGGTTTTCTGAGATATTTCTTGCCAAGATGAGTTAATTGCAGCTCTCAGTTCCTCAACGTTATGTGCCTGTGGTGCCCTGTGTACCACATGTCTGATAGCAGCGCACACAAGTTGGAGTGGTGAGGCAGCTGGCCAGGGAAGGATATTAGTTCCATTGAGAATGTGATGTGTGACATGAGGCCAGGCATTTTTCTGCTGGAATAACATGCCATGGGTGGCCTTCTCAAGTGGCCGAACCACAAGCATAACAATTTGTGTTAAGTACCAACCCTATGCTAAACTACCAGTAATGTGTACACCAGTTGGCCACTCTGTGAACATGATGCCACTCCAAACCATGAAGCCGTGTGTAGGGCATGTGTAATGATCATATGTCCACAACCATCATTTCTTCATAAACAAAATCAAGTTTCACCCGGAAACAATACCCAGTGCCATTTGTTTCTCTATTGACTTGAATGTCGACACCAAGACAGGTGGGTAGCCCTGTGTTAAGTGTTTAAAGAAACTCCAGGGGCTGGCCGCCATGCACACATCCCTGCTTCATGCAACCTGTTAGGAAACAGATGCCCCTTCTAATAATGGTAGGTAGGTTTGAATATGACTTGCTGTGTGGTGAACGGGTCTCCACAAAACATTCACCAAATTTGCCTATCAGTGCGATCTGGAAGATCCACTGCCTCTTTGCTATGTTCTCAGATGGTCTTGTGGCCATTTTTCTACAAATCGCTGAATTGTACTCAAGTCCTGTCCAGTACAACTGGCAATTGAACTCATTGACAAACTAAGCTCGTGCTTTTCTAGAAATCTTTCTCTCTCCTCAGATGAAAATTTCTGGTATTCAGCTACATGATGTCTCTGAGGCATTTTCTATCTACCCTTCTTCAATAGTTCGTTTACAACAGTCATAACATATACAGGGTAAGCCAGCTACTGGATGTTATAGCCAGAAACTAGGTATCATGACCAGATGCGCATGCGTATTGAATCTCTTGCATAGGTCTCTGACATCTACTGATCCTGTTAGTTTCACATTTCTACACGCATGCCTTCATGGTGTTGCAGTTTCACTTTTGACGAGTGTATATGCCACTGCACTCTCCATAGCAGGAATTCGCACTTATTTAGCAGGTTCATTGCTGTAAATTGTTCGAGAAATCTTTAATAAAGTTTGTACTGTACTTAAAAGTTTAGATTTTTTTTATGGTATTTGGTCAGTTTCCAATTAAATTAAACTTCCATAATTTTGTTTATCTGAAATTCTGCCCGTTTTCAATGGTGACAATTCTGATCTTGATTGACATTTTTAGTGATATGAAATTTAAACCACATGGCATGTAATGAATCCATCACAGACTGTCATTATAAACAGCAAAGAACAATAAGTCATCCCAGAATGAAAGTTTCAGGCTACTTGTTCATCTAGCTTTTCATATGAAATGTTATCATCAAGAATATTTATTAATTTGTCTTTATTAAAAAAGATCTTCTTTAACTTCAGCCTTAACCTTACTGTCATATTTAGCATATCTTTACAAAACATAATCTTCAAAAAGGTAGAATCATGAACTGCATAAAGATGAGGCTTCCACTTGTTGTTATAAGTAAATCTGAAAATTCAAAAATATGGACAAAAGAATGAACAGGCGCTTAAAAAACTGCAAGATACTCCTGAAAATTTTACTGATATTTATCTTGTAAATGGCTGAATCATATATACATTCAAAATATGTTATGATAATTATAAGTATATAGACATGCATCTTGAACTATATCCAGACAGTTAAGGTAAGATATATATATTTGGAGAAAAGAACAGGGTGATTTTGGAATTGTAATAAAAAAAAAAAAAAACCATTTATTCATTGTATTTGGAGGAACTTACAGATGTTACACGTTTACATAAAGAGTTTTAACTGACCCAGAAGTGTTGCCTGTTTGGCAATTTCTTACCAATTCTACATTTAATTTGCACTTTCTTATCTGCTGTCTGGATTATCATTTGAATTTGTTCCTTTTTATTGCATCAAAAACTACTTTTTCCTCCCTTTTTTGAAAAAATTTCCTCCTTTTTTAAAGTTTGAATCCCAGCGAACGGTCTGACTGCATGAGGTTTTTCCCATGCATGAAAATCAGGAAGGCATCCCTCGGGCAGATAGCCCTCGAGTACTTTGCCATAGTTTAATAAACCAAGCCCTTTTTATAATAGCTCCACAGATGCTGAGTGTTTAAGACAGTTAAATAACACTTTTTTTCCCATTGATTTTTCTTTAAAAGCTCTAACCTGTGTGTTAATATGCTTCTATATTGCATAAAAAGTTCTGATTAATAACTAAATGTAGTGCAGATGCAATAAGTACTTAAAAAATTATGATTTTCTATCTTTTAATATGGACATTTCATTATTTTGAATGTACCCTCAGATTACATTCAAAAGATATCTAATATATCATTTTGTAATGCAAGGGAGCAGGCATCATAAAGCAGAGCGAGGAAAATAAAACTAAAAAGTGGTCAGTGAGCCAAAAAACAATTGAAACGTTTCTTTATACTAGCTGAGTTAGTGCAACAGTAGCTTCAAGAAAAGGGAGGAATGTAGCTTGGCCAGTTGAGTCTTTTATCCAAAACCCAGTAGAGGGAGTATATAACTTTTTTAATGTGATAAATTACTCTTGTAAACCCACCACTAATCTCAGTGCAGTTTTAAAACTGGTTTAAAAATTCAGTTTTTATTTTCTACCAGAACTTACTATTTTTCAAACTCAGTGGAGTTGTTTATGCTCGTTTGATATAAAAGATACCACATATTTTATATTGAGATATTTTCCCCATTACTTTCTGATTCTTTGTTTTTGGATATGTGCTTTTTATAATAAAGTAATTGGTACTTTTCCGTTTATCCGGCGCAATTTCCCATTTCGCCGGCGCAAGCGATAAAGTCGCCGAAAATGGTAGAACTGATGCCAAAGTGAATATCTTCACTGATAACCTTTCACGCCACTTTTTCAAAACAAATCGCTGAAATTTCTTATCAGATTGATCTTTTTTTTTTTTTTTTTTTTCGATATTGGCATACAGTTACATAGAATTTTTTAAATTTAAATATTGAAATAATTCTTGCATTTATACTTCGTATTCTAATACTAAGATTTAACTTGAAATTGATGTAGATAATTACTGAGAGAAGTTCAGATATTCGTAGCGTAGTTTACGTGAGATGAGATCGTTTGGGGTCACGTGATACGAACCGGTGAATCAGGATGTAGATACCGATGAAAGCATAGTAAATCTTTAATTTAACGTCTTTAAATTCTTAATAACGTCTTTTTACAAATATGTCAAAAATGGATGAAAATCAATGAAAATTTGGGAATTTGCCCAGGACAGAGGAAGAATCTGTCCGATTCTTTCAAGCGAAAGGCGTTTTGCCCAACATTGCTATTTGTGAAAATAATCATGAAATTATATTTCGGAGATGAAATTCAATGGCGTTGCAAACTTTCAACTTGCAGCAGTAAAAGTATACGGAAAGGCACTGTGTTTGAATCATCGAGATTGAGTTTCTTGAAGTGTGTAAGATTTATTTATAATTGGAGTGCAGTATTAACTTGAGTTAAATGGTGTGAAAAGCAGCTGGAAATCAATCCGGAACCGTTGTGGATTGGAATAACTACATGCGAGACGTTTGTGTGGATTCTTTACTTAAACGTCAACAACACAAAATAGGAGGACCTGGTATGATCGTTGATGTTGGATGAAAGTATGTTCACGAAGTGTAAAAACAATGCAGGACGGATTTTACCATAACAGTGGATATTTGGTGAAGTTTGTCGTTAAACAAACAAATTTTTCCTTGTGAAGGTGCCAGACCGATCCATGAGTATTATATTACAGGCAATAAATGAAAACTTCGAAAAAGGAACTACAATATATTCCTGATTCATGGAAATCATATTGCACTGAAAAACTGGAAGAGGAAAGTTTCGAACATTTCAAAGTGATACAATTTTGTAGATCCGGAAACTGGAACGCACACGCAAAAAATTGAAAGACTATGGGGTAGCTCAAAATGGCGGAATAAGAAACACAGAGGAACGGCTCAGCATCATCTGGAAAGTTACCTCGCCGAATTTATGTGGCAAAAGGACACAAAAGACCCATTTGAAAAAATTTTAAACGATATTAAAATATTTATGCCTCCAAAATAAAAAAAAAAAAAAAAAATTCTTAAAATTAACATTTGTTAACATTTTTTTATGTGTATACTGTGTGTTGTCGCCAATAAAGTCTGCTTGGCGAGATTTGCGCCGGAGAAAGGGAAATGGCGAGGTTTGCACCGGCGAAACGGAAAAGTACCAAATAATTTTGTATGATCTTTATTACTAACATCAAAATCCTTTATCATGATTTTTTATTTTTGCATAAATTTTGATGCCATAATATTAAGTATGTGTTCTGAAAACATAACCTCACTCTTTGATATCATTGGGTCATTTTGAATATCTTATTTTGTACTGGAATTGGTTCTTTTATTTCTCTTATATTAATGATAAAAGTTAAAACTATCAAAAAATGTAGTTAATCCAATCTATTACACCCACTGTTTTAAGTCAGTTATGTATTTTTAATTTTAAAAAGTTCTTTTTATCTTTATAGGCTCATTATGCCATTAATCATCATCCCAGTCGCCAACCATTGGGTCTTAATATTGCATATAAGTAAGATAATTTTTATGTTTTGTTTTGTTTCATGTATAATTTCATTGAATACTGGTTATATTAAGTGTGACACATATCAAAAATATAATCAAATTTTTGTAGACGATGCTTGCAGTTACTAGCTGGAGGTCTGTTTCTTCCTGGATCTGCTGGAATACCTGATCCATGTGAAGGAGGAACTGTTCGAGTACATACTTCGATGTCTCTGGAACAGCAGGTTATTTTTTAGAAAACTTAAAATTTTTACTATTTGATTTATTATAAAAACTCCTTGTTATAAATGAGTTTAATTTACTGAATAATTAATTTAATAATGTGTTTTCATGATCCAATTTCTTAATTATTTAATCAGACTAATTAAATACGTTGCTGAAATCATGTGAAAGCTTTTTGTCAATAATTTTTGTTTTGTTTACTATGTTTACTTTTATCTAAATTTAGAGATATTTGTTTATGTGATCCACTTTATTTATTTAATCAGTCAAACTAAATTAAATATGCTACTGAGATCATGTAAAAAGCTTCCTTGGATTTTTCAATGACTTCTATTTTGTTTTATATCTTAACTAGTGTAAATTCTCAAAGAAAAGGGTCTTAGGAAATAAGCAGTTTTTGAAGTAGTTCACCTAAATTTATCATCCTTGGAGTGCTGTATTGTTTATACTGAGCATTTTAACTGTTATTTTTTCGCTTGTTAAGAAGTAGAGTATAGTTAAAAAATAATAAGTATGCAGGCTGGCTTCTGTCATTAAGCATGTGTTTGTTCAATCAGATTGTGAAATTTCTTCATTAACTCTGCTTCTTCCCAAATTTTCTTTATTGCAATAAATGTTTTATAAGCGTAATACAAAAATAATTTAGTTTTCAATTCCACATATAATCAAATGTCAAGTTGTCAGAAAGCTCGAATGTTAAAAGTTATCAGAAATGTAAATATTTGATGATGGTTGCATTGGACAATTAGGATTTTTCAAGCGAGAAACATGAAAAATCACTTTTGCTCTTGCCAGGACTGAAATCACTGATCTTCCACTTGCTAATTATTTATGCCTCCAAAGCATGCACAGCATAATGCAGTAATTCCTTATATTCTCCTCTGCTAAAAGGATCACTAGAGAGAGGTAAAAGACTCCTTTGAACAAATCCAGATGGTAACAAATTATCATCTGCCTCATTTCAGTATAGATGCCTTTCAAAGAGTAGTAGGATTTTCAGAATGCAAAATATGAAAACTAACTGTTTTTGTTGGTATTTAAACTATTAATGTTTTACATGCTACAATAGCACTTATGGAGAAAGGAGATAATTCTGTTCGAAATTATACAAAACTTGTGGAATACCAAGAGCATTGTCACTAATCAGTTACACTCCCATGAAACTTATCAAGCAGCTTCCAATGTGATTAGAACAAGCTAACATGAGTGATTAGATTTTGAATGCAGAATACTAGTTCAAGCCTCACACAGGAGACATTTAGTTTCTGAGGTTGTTCATACATTCAATTTTCCTGAACCCAAGAATATCATAGTGTAATTCATTGAAAGCATTATCAGCTTACAGCAGAGTTGTCGACCATGGTTGCTTAATGATCATGCACACAGTCCTCACAAATAGGCGAATGATTTGAATAAAATAAGATTTACATTAAATACAGGAAGAATCACAGATGTATTTTTGAGAATACAGCAAAATTTAGCATTGTTATATTTGTATGGAATATGGGGACAGAGTACCTTTGTTAGTACCAGGTTAGAGAGACACTCATGATCTTGTAAACACGTTAATTTGAGCTTGGAGAAGTGCAAAAAATAGCCTGGTCCATTGATTCATAATATTAGTTGCAATGAGATAATAGTAGGACTTAAATGTGGCACAGATTATATATGGGCACAAATCCATGTCATAAATAAGACATTATCAAAATTAGTGTTGACTCTATATTGGTGTGGGATATGTTTTGAAGCCAAGGTTTGAATATTATGATACTGATGTGGTATTGTTTTCTTTGTTGATTTGGATAACATGATACTTCAAAACAAATCGCTAAGTGTGAATTGCTATGATAAGCTGTTTAATGACCATTTTTAACCCTTTATGGACTTCTTGTACTTCAATGATGGGATTTTCCCATTATTGTCCCCACTGTGCATGTCATCTGTCTAAGTTTACTGAAAATTGTCTGAGAAGGATTCCTGGACATTCCAACGAAAGAGTTATTTTTAGAGATAACAGATGTAGTGGAATACTTTTGGGTTGTGTTTTAAAGTTCATTTTTGCAGAAGATTGGATGGTATTTATGGGTTGATATTCTAGATGGTATTGCTTAATATTTTATCAGAAGACTGTCAATTTTTAAGAGCCTGTGGCTCATCAAATGTTGCACTTCATTTGAGAAGAGAGTACCTCCTCCATTTAATGTTTGATAAGTATCTTATGTTTTTTGGCTCGTATATGTTGGGTTGTCAAGAAAGTAATTTAGGTTTGCACAAATAGATAGTATTATATTCATTTGTTATTCCTCTGTAAACTCTCATTCTTTTGAGATTTGGCAGTTGACACTTTTAGGTTGCTATATAAAAAAAAAGCTTCTTTTTTTTTTTTTTTTTTTTTTTTTTTTTTTTTAAAGCTGGTAGTTTCTGTAAATTTTAACATGAGATGTAAAAATAAACATTTTGTTACATAAAATAAATGCACATAAAATAAACATATTTGCATATTTTAATTTGTTACTTTCATAAAGGCAAGAAACCAACACAAATAGATATATGAAGTTTATGATGTTGATTGCTTAACAGAATGCATGCATTAGAATTTGTTTAAAAAATTTCGTTCCCAAGGTTTTTCACTGGAAGGAGCATTCTGGATAGCTTCTGAAGTTAATAATGACAAAAATTAAAGCCATAATTGAATCAATTGTCATATAACTGTGTGAGAGATTGCAAAAAGGTTAAATGTATCACACACAACAATTGAAAATCACTTGCGATGTCTTAGATTCATTAAGAAGTTCGATGTTTGAGTTCCATTTGAATTAAAAGAAATTCACTTGCCATAGTGCCACACATTTTAAACGTAAAGCAATTGACCTTTTTTTGAAAAGAATAAGTACTGGTGACAAAAAGTGGATTGTCTACAATTACCTTAATTTAAAAAGATCATGGTCCAAGTATGGTGAATCAGCACAAATTATAAATTATAAGCTAAATTCCATCAGGAAAAGATTTTGCTGTCAGTTTGTTGGGGTTACAGAAATGTTGTGTGTTTTGAGTTGCTTACAAGCAACCAAATGATAACTCAGTCATTTACTATCATCAACTTATAAAATTGGAGAAAGCAATCAAAGAGGAAAGGCCATAATTGGCAAATCGCAAAGGAGTCATGTTCCACAGCGAAAATATGATGCCTCACACACATCTTTAGCAAGTAGGTAGAAGGAATAGAACCTCTATGTTTAAGGTAGAAGGAATAGAACCTTTATGTTTGGTTGCAGTGTTGTGAGAGCTTCAGTACCATATCCTTGAGCATTATTGAGAGTTAGGAGAACTTTAAAACTCAGGTTTTATTGTTCTGAGTAATGTTCAAATTCTTAAATGATTGAATTTTCAAACCTATACATTAAAGAAGACTATTGCAATGCATCTGATGCTTTTCAGCATACCATGTGTAATTGAAATTCAGCCAAATTAAATTAAGACAAATTAAGGTAATCCGTATTCTCAAAATTGTGTTCTGCAATTCTGTGTTGGGCAGAGTTACAATAACTTCATCAAATAAAATATTTCATCTGAAATAAAATAAATGTTTTGCTCATTATAACTGAGATTGATGTTTGTTATAGTAATTGCATGAAGTGCATCAGTCAGTTATGTACAAGAAATGTTTAAAATCAATGAAAGATGAAAGCTTTGGCACATTACTCCAAAATATTGATCTAAGTTGCAAGAGTTAGTTCCAATTTTCATTTACTACAATTATAATATTTATTTCTTCAACAGAGTTGCTCTTTCACAATAATTACAATTCTCAAAATAAGTTTTTCATTTGCAAATTGTAAATAACAGTATAAAAAGCTAGAATTAACCAATAAATCTGAGCAAGGATTGTTTCATCTTAACAATAATGTGAGCAGTTTATAAATTAAAAGTAGTTATGTTTTGAGTCAGATCTGGGTTACATCAACCAACCTTGCAAATCTTACTTTTTAGAATGAGTCGGCAGCTTTTAACACTTAAGTCAAATCTAAAAGAAAATCATCAGTGACTCTGGATTGTCATGAGCATAAAAGCCACAAATTAGGTATCATTTGTAGCATGGGAAGGGGATTTTTTCCTAAAACAATGTCTCGTCAATTAACTTTAACAGATTTAATTTGCAAACGCAATATGAAAACAATTATAAAGAATGCGGATTTACAGATGGAGGTGTATTAAACAACTTTACACTGTAGCATCACCAGCTGCAAATTAGATTTGGCAGTTCTCTCCAGTGGTAGTAGAATCAGAGTTCACATATTTGGAGGAAGTATCTCCAACAAAAGCCCAGCCTCAAAATACAGGGAAAATTGTATAGTTTCTATTTATCACAAATGTATAAAAATACTAAAGTTAGAAAATCATTATTATAAAACTCCTTATCCCCAAAACTGTGTAATTGTGTATAATTTTTCAAAAATACTATTTCTTTCCCTGCTGGAGCTTATGATTCATAAGTGACATCATCTTGTAGTAACAGAACGTAATTTCTATGTACCTTATCCCTAGTGCTATCATTTCCTTGTGCTTCTGTGCATGTAAGAAAATAAAATAAATTAATATTAACCTCTGAGTGGCACAGATTTTTGGATGCATGTATGAACAACTATTTAAATGCCATTTATTAACTAAATTTATATAATTACTTATTATAGTCTTCTTTGAAAATTTCCGTCCATCAAGATGATGCTTTCATCATTACAGAAAATAAAAAAAATAAAAAAAAAAAAAAATATTTGAAATTATAAGCTAATGTATACCAAGTGACAAAAAATGTCACGACCAGATAAAGGCGGTGAACAGCAGCCACCCAGGAAGTAAAAAAATCTTTTTTTTTTTTTAACCTAAATTTGCTGTTGACAAAAAATAGTAAAAAATAAAAACAAACACCATAAATATAATCTTAAACACCTTAAGCATACTTTGGTAGTATTTAATGACCGTCTGTCATTCAGAGCAAGAAGATTAGTATGATGAAATACTGAAGAAAAGTGATTAACAAAATGATATAAAAATTAAAGAACATCATGTAAATAATTCTAAAAAAAGCAAATATACACATAAATAAATAAAATAACTGAGTAAAAATAAAATAATTCTTTTATTTTTAACTTAGGTCTTAAAGCAATAAATAAATTAGATTGCATTTCAGTATGGAAAAGGATATTTTTATTCAAAAAATATGTCAGAAAAAATAGTTAGTACTTTTGTAAAATGCAGCCCATTCTTTTTGGTTCTTTGTAAATTCCATTCAAGCTTAGAAATTGTTATATTATTACACATGTATATTTATATCCTAAATCTTAATTTGATGTTCATTTTTATTATTCTTTGATCATATTTCCTTCTTTTTATGCAGATAATTGTGGTTATTACAATCATACAGAAGTATTATTAACTTAATTATTAACATAATTATGATAAAAACTGCTACTAAAATATTATAAGAAATTTTTATTGTATCTGTTAAAACAGCTACAAGGGTTGGATAGAAATATTGAAACACATCTTAAAATGCATGTTTGAACTGAAATGTTTATTCTTGCAAAAGCTGTTGGTGGCAGTGATGAGTTTGCTCACTGACACAATCTATACAACATCCTCAATACACTGCAAATGTTATTCATTATCAAGACAATGTTCTGTGCAATCGTGAGTGCATCATGTCAAAGCTAAATGAATTTGAATGTGGGCAAATTGTTGGGGCTTGTATGGTGGGTGCTTCCATAACCAAGTTAGCTGAAGTGTTTGGTGTTTCAAGAGGCATATCTAAGATTTTTAACTCGTACATGAAAACTGAAAAAAACGGGATCCGCTAAATCACAGTGCAGACTGAGTGATAATGACAGACAGTCCCTGAAGAGGATTGTGATAAAAAGTAAGAGAACTACAGCTACAAAAGTGACTGCTGAACTGAATGTTGCACACACAAACCCTGTCAGCCCCAAACCAGTATGAAGTGGACTCCACAAGCAGGGTATTTTTGGGTAAGCTGCAATTCCAAAGCCACTCAGACTGTCATTTGGTCAAATGAGTCTTGCTCCATACTGTTTCCAACTTCTAGGTGAGTTTACATCTGCAGAGTGCCATTTCAAGCATGTTACAGAGATTGTTTGCTGCCAAGAGTGAAACATGGTAGGGGTTTGGTCATGGTTTGGGCAGCCATGTTGTGGTATTCCATGAAATACATCATTACCGTGCAAGGTCACATTACTGCCAAAGATTATGTGACCATTTTGGCTAATGGCACCCATCCTGTGGTATAAATTTTGTTTCTGAATGGTGTATACCAAGACAACAGAGACAGCATCCAGGACTGTTTTTCTGATAATGAGGGTGAACTTTCATACCTAGCATGGCCATCACAGTCACCAGATATCAATATTGTTATATCAATATTGTTGGGCCTTTGTGAGCTATTTTGGAGAGATCTGTGCGAGTGCTATCCACTGCCATCATCATTAACTGAACTTGTCAATGTTTTACAAAAGGAATTGTACAAGATTCCCTTGCAAAGCATACGAGACCTCTATTTATCCATACTGAAAAGACTGCAAGCCGTTTTTAATGCCAGTTGTTTTCCTACACTGTAATAGTCTAACAGTGTATTTTTTATTTTGGTGTTTCCATATTTTTGTCAATTCCTGTATCTTGTCTCCTTTTGTAATAGCTGTATTAATATTTTCAGGACCTTGTATGTTTGACAGCCCAAACTTTGTTAAGAGTTATGGCCCATGGAGGATATAAACAAGTATTAGGTTTGGAAATCCTTCCAAGTGAGTTCCTTTACCAATTTATTTATACTGTCAAATATTTTATTCATTTTCTAATATAATTAGTAGCATGAAATTATTGCTTAAACTTTTTAAGAGCAGCTATTTATTATACTGAACATTTTCCTTATTTAGAACACTGTTAAACAGATTTCAGGTATATTTCATTGTTTCTTTTAACTAAGTATTTGAACAATATCAGTGCAAACTTTATTTTAAACCTGTGATTTCAATAACACATAGTTCATCGTTATTTACAGGAATTTTGATTTTGTGTCACTTACTATAAATTTTCTATTTTATCTTATGTTACTTGCAGTAAGTTTAATAGAAAAAATTAACTGGAATAATTGGAACCAATTGCCTTTTGTTCTCATAATTCACTTAAAAGTAAGACCTTATATATTACATTTGAGAATTCACCTTAATTAGCTGATGTTAATCCTTTAATTTATATAAATTTATGGTTGTCCTTCAGATAATAGGGCTTTAAACTTGGCTGCCACAATTAGACTTCTTGTAATATTGTAATATATTAATAATATATTAAAATTATCAACTTCCCCTCCCCATCAATTACAGAAATTTGAAAATAAGCAGATGACAGTGGTTTAGGTAATCTAAATATATTGGAAAATAGGTCATGTTGGTTAAACCATTGAATTTCCAAAATATATGTAGATACTGTTTCATCTATAAAATATTTTGTAAAACTTTTAAGTGACATGCATAACATTCATGTTATTTAAGTATTTTATATGATGTAAGACAATATTTGTATAGATACAGATTCATCTTGGAAACAGGAAAAATGTACTTAATGTACGAAATGTAATATAGGTATCATCGGTATACTACCACCATGATGCACAACCTTTAAGTAAATTTGAGTCCAGCTAAGAATTATTTTTTACTTTGAAACCCCAAGTGAAACAATTATAAGGCATTAAAAACTTAAATTAAATTGCATAAGGAAAGATGTTCTCTGTCTGCATTTGCTTGCATTAGCCTTGTAAAGCAATCAAAGATATCAAACATTTTATCTACTTGGAAACAGTACCTGAGATATATTGAAAGAAAAAACTAAATATGGTTAATATAAATGTCATTAGCTGTATAATTTGTAGTCTATGAACTATTTGAATATTTGTAGTCTGCATTGTGATGAAAAAGTTGGGCAGTGCATTCCTGCAGTATTGTAAATGTATTTTCTTTCTTTTACAATTTCCCTAACTTATTTAGAATGTGAAAATTCAATACACAATGCTCTTAACTTGACCCACATAAGCTAGTTGAAATGTATGGTGAATATCCTAATTGCAGTGAGTGGCAACATTTATCTTTGCTGCATATAATGCTCACCATAGTGCGAGGATAAAAATGTGAACTTTTTGCCAAGACTTGCTATATACATCTCACCTTATTTTCCCTCTTCGTTGCCAATGTCTGGTGCCTCTGCTTCTGTGTGTTAATGTTTAAATGTTTAACCTTTTGCAAGATGCGATTTCCTTTTTTTAAATGTTAAATAAAGTTGATTTTAACTGTTAGCTGAAGAATTTGTGACTCTTAGATCTTTATGATGACATTCTGATGGAGTCTAATGGCAATAAACTTAAAAGTTTTTCATCCCAGCTGTATCCAAATGCACATACTGAAAATTTTGTCTAGGCATGGCAAAGGACTGCAGTAGATATGTGTATGATGTTTAACTTAAAACTTCTGGCAGTCAATCCAAGCGTGAGTCCAGGCAGCACAATCCTTTGACACAGAAGCTCGACAAAATGAGAAAGAACCAGTCTTTTGGTTTGTCATATACCTGAATGAGAAAGTCCATAGAGTGATTCAAATACTGGTCTCCGTAGTTTGCTGGGAACAGAGACATAGCTTTTCACCACTCGCGTCACAAGATTATTTAGTCCAGGAAACAATTGTATCTTTTGTAGTTTTAATGAGCTACTTTCAGCAGATAACACATGATTCAGTTCGTGATCATTATGTTGAAATTCAGCAAACTGTGCAAAACTTGTTACATCCAGCTTACCAGTAATTTGTGACATTACTTTACCAGTAATTTGTGACAATGTATCTGCCACAATATTTTTTGATCCAGGAACATAATGTATGTTGGTACTGAACAGGGCAATATAATTCATATGCCTAATCTACCTGGGTGATGCACAATCAGATTTTTTCCAAAATAAAAAATTGGAGGCCAATGAAGTGTATATATTATACAAACTTGTCCCTCAAGATTATGGATTTTTAAAGCGTGAGGAATCCGTGATTCCAAACTCTGCATTTTTTAGAATAATCTGAAAGATCCTAGCATTTGGTTTCATGTTAAATTGTATTGTTTATGTTGGACTCCTTGTAATATCAATTATGAGCCTTACTTAGCTGCATTAATAATGCATGTATAATTAATTCAATATAGAATATGTAAACTAATCCTTGTAGTTTGATAGTATTGTAACATTTAATGGCTTAGTAATGACACTAATCATTAATTATGTTTAATTTGGTAGGATGGTTGAATTTTGATGTGCCATTTTTATTTCTGTATACTTTGTTTATTCAGTTTCTCTATACTAACTTTAAAATTGCATTACAACTTAAAATTTTTAAATATGTTGTGGCCAAATTACAAATGTCCTGTGAGAAACATTTTAATTAACCCCTTCGAGCCGGGTAGCGAAAACGCACGCTTATCGCTGAGGCCGGCAGTGTCTTACGCGAGCGTCTCTCCAGGGCCGGGGGCTTTTTTGCTACTAAGCCTTAAATCCATGAAAATTCCGAAGTATCAATGCATTGTTTAATAATGCTCTATAGAGTATTTAAATGGCTTATGCTTTATAGATGTTTATATATATATATACTTTAATTACCTTATTTCTTGTTTAAATGCATATTTTACACATTTTATTTTAATTACTCACCATTTTATGAATTTTAACATTATACCTCTGAAAACTAAATATATTACTTAAAATTCTCTTTTCGTATGAAAAATTTGAAAACAGGGATCTACACACAGTCCTATGTTACATTCCTTGCACTCGTAATAACTCATTAGCCGTTTTGGAGGATTTTTCCGGGAATGTGAACAAATGAAGCATCGTCGTCTCATTTTCTTATCAGTCTCTTCTGAACAAAGTTTTGGAAAATGTCTTTCAGAATCAATATCAGAATTTCAGAATCAATATCTGAAATATTTTGCATCATTTCTGCTATTTCATGCTCTGTTAAACATTTTCGACGCTTCGACATTGTAACGGTAAAAACAAAGAATTCACGTCTAACAAGATCTAATTATTTTCTAAAAACTGAACTGCAAACCAAAATACCCAATGCTTTAGAGCAAATAAAACTTCTCTACTTACAGTAAACAACTACCACGTGCGAATAAAGTGCGATTTAAAGAGACGTCATAAATCACGCCGCCATTCGGAAACATTTACTTCCCCGTTTGTTTATATAATCAAAAACACGTGTATGTGAGTCATGCTTCTCTCATTTCAAGTAGAAGGTCTAATGTACATGTATCTGAAACCATATGGACATACAGTGCCATCTTGTGGCAGAAATTATAGTTTGAAAAACGTTCCAAAGTACTGGCACAAATACGTGACAGTCGGTAGAGAACGGAACAATCCTCTGGCGCGCCTGCGTGTTGGCCGGTAGATAAGCGTGTTCGTTGCTGGCACGTATACGTGACAGTCGGCGCGAAGGGGTTAAATTACTTTACAGGAGCAAAAAATTACATAATGCAGAAACTGGGGGAAAGTGAAATACTTAATCTCTCTTCATGTTAATTTTCCTTATCACATATTAGATCTGTTATTAAGGTCAAATAATTCAGTATCATAGATGTTTCCTTTAATTCAGGAGAATGAATTTAAATGTTATATGTTATTTTTCTTCAGATCTTGCCACCGAAATGAGTGTATGGGATGGAGTTGTTGTGTCTCCACTCAGTAAGGCTTACGAAAAGCCAGCTGACAAAAAAGAGGAGGAAACTTCTGAGGATATGGAACAAGAGCATGAAGACACTATGGAAACTCAGGAATCCACTTAAGGAAATTTAATGTGGTCATAATTTTATTTTAAGCACACTATCTTGCTGTATATATGAACTTTAGTGACATGCAATGTGCATTGAATAAATATTTATAATATGCATTTTGTTGCTTTGGAGTTTCTTTGCACATTACTGAATCAGATTTGATCACAAATTTTACGTAGATACTTTAGTGCATATTCAGTGCATATTCCATCACTTTTATCACTTTATCAGCAGTCATTCTGAATTACTGTCATATTAACCAGTTCACCATCTGCCCCAAGAAAGACTCATCCATTTGAAATGCATCTTAGTAATGGTACACTCTCGTTGGAGTGAAATGTGAGCTGGACTGTGACCCACTGTCACAGATTTATTATCGTGTTTTTCCAAACCCCAGAATGAGTCGAAAATGAAAAGAGGTGATTGATGACTTTTATTTCCAACATGAGGTTGCATTAAGATCACAGCAGGGCTGTATCAGGAAAGTAAAGGATGGGCATCACTTTCTTCAAATAGATACCCCCCCCCCTCAACATATCTCGTGAGATCCACAACAAACAAAGAGGTTTGAAGATTTTACATGATATATTTTCAATTCCTAATGAATCTTTGAGGATATAGGCTTTATATTATTCTCTGAACTATGAATTTCACTATGTTATACCTAATATATGTACTTTATTTTATCACCTTTCCTGTGCGGATGGAAATTAATTATTTACTTTAAATTTCATTATGACTGTGTTGCGACAGTTATGAATGACATTGCTGAACTGAAATTTTCAATGTTACATTTCATTTTTCGAAACTTGAATTATTAATTAATACTTTGCTTTTTAATAGGCATTTTTTTTTAAAAAATATCAGTTGAGAGAGCTACAGCATTAAAAATATGGGAATTTTAGAAGAAACAGTAATATATGAAATTTGGATTGCTGTATTATTTCTTTTACTTCTTTCTTAGAGAATTATATTTTGCTTGAAACATTTTCAACAATATGTATTTTTTTTTTTTTATTATTATTATTTCTATATATTTTGAAAGCATACTACATAAAAATGAGTCATTTCACCCTTCAAGTTCTTCCAATACGTTTCAATATTCGAAATGAAGTAATTGAAAATAAGAGAGTGATGGAGTAACCAACTACTCTGGCTTTGTAATGATCAGGCTTGTGATTTTTTTTTCTTTCCTTTGTTTTTTATGTGATGGATTAAGTGGATTAAAAATACGTATAACCTTATGCTTTTAAACAGCAATGAAATAGCTGTATAAACTGTAAATATTTTATCATAAATTCTGCAAAGGACAGAAATATTCCTGAGTTTGGCTAAAGAGCATAAACAATGCATCCCACTAAATAAAAGATATATATAGTCATATGTAACTCAAATTTGAGTCAGTTTCCTTTAGAAAATACTCTACAATATTCCCCCTTCTCTCAGGGAAACTCCCATATACCTTGTCATATTCAATAGAATATCTACAGAATGCCTCAAAAAATTTTCTGTATTAATTTTATTTCTTCAAGAATTTCTTGGTTCTACTTTTTGAACAGAGTTACGATTTCACTTTGACCACTCACTTTTTACTTCCTTGTACGAAGTAAAAAAGAAGTATTGTAATCGCGAAAAGTTTCAGGCAGGGTATTTCAACGAAAATATCCATTTTGACCGCTATCGAATGCAATTTAATGATGTTTTTGATTGATATCTGTACGTAAGGACAGAATAAAATACTCTTTTCCTCCAAAAAAATTATAAAACTCCTTTAAAATGAATTCTGAAGGGAATTTTTCGTGGCATCTTTACGAACATACGTACGTATCTCGCATAAGTAAAAAACGAGTAGCCTCAGCGAACGTTGAAATTTTGTATATAGGACTGCTATGACATGTAGACCTCGTATTTTGGTTGCAATCGGCCGCACCAAACGTATATAAATATATTTATATATATATCCACTCTTGTTTAAGTGCCGCTAAGCCTAAAAATTTTTTTGATGGCGGCCATTGCTGGTTTACATTTGAAACAGTAGTAGATTTGTTGCCAATCTAGAGAAACTTAGCTTCGCAACAATAAAGATAACGCCTTCATTTATTATTGTAAATTAAATCATGCTTAATCCTTTCTGGAATTTTTTCGAGGAAATAAGTGTTTAAGATTTACTTTATAAGTGTGTAATTTTTAAAACAGATATTTTGAGTGTTTATCTATTTTTGCCTTGTTGCGAAGTGAGAACTGAATTAATTGAATGAGAAACACTCAATCGTCTGTGAAAAACTGTTTCTTTTTTGTTTTGTTTGTTTAATTTCTTTTATACATCATTCTAGCTTTATTATAGTATTTGAATAGAACATGTGGCAACGATTAGATAATTCTTTAAATGATATAAATTTTGTGCATTCTGTGTTATAATATGAATGAAATATAATACTGTTAAGTGAATCTAGCACCAGAGTGTTGCTATGGTAAACAAATAGAGTAAATTTTAAAGAATGCATTTATTCTATTGTGGTTTATGCGCTGTCGGCGAAGTAGATTTAATTCAATCTAATAAGTTTAAATGAAATGCAAGAAAAAATGTGTAGAATTTAATATTCCGTACAAGGAAGTCATGTGGTGTACACATCAGATTTTTTTGCATATTGTACTGTTTTTCTACCTTGATCTAATTAAAGGAAGTATTGAAGTCCCGAAAAATTTTGGGTATAATATTTCAACGAAAATATCTATCTTGACCACTCCTGAAACCATTTGGTCGATACGTCTCTTCGTATGATCAGAAAAACGACTCTTTTTACTTCCTTATATGAAGTAAAAAGGAAGTATTGTAATCGAGAGAAATTTCAGGCATCATAATTCAACAAAAATATCCATTTTCAGCGCTATCAAATGCAATTTAATGATATTTTTGCATGATATCTGTGTGTAAGGACAGAATAAAGAACTCTTTCCCCCCCAAAAAAAATTATTAAACTGATTTAAAATGAATTCTGAAGAGAATTTTTCATGGTGTGTACGTATCTCGGATAACTCAAAAATGACTAGTTTCAGAACTTTGAAATTTTGTATATAGGACTGTTATAACATGTAGATGTGCACCTCGTATTTTGGTAGCAATCACCTGCACCAAAAGTATATATATATATATATATCTCCACTCTGTTACTCAGCTCATTGATATCAGTCTCTTTATTCTTATATGTTTCTAAATTGTGCATTTTTGGTTTAAAAATGATTGAATTATATTCTGATTAAGATTTTTATGCCTTTAGTTAACCTGCATGCAATAATTATGGAATTATCAAGAATTTAAAATTTTTTTAAATTGTGGCTGAGCCTAATTTTTTATTACCATGGCCGCCAAGTATGTTTACATTTGAAACTTGGCAGAATAATGGATTTATTGCCAATCTAGAGAAACTAAGCTATGCAACAACAAATAATGTCTTCTTTTATTATTGTGAATTAAATTATGCTTAATTCATTCTGGAAATAACATTTAAGTTATTAGGTTGTTTCGGTGTACAATCTGGAATTCTAATTGTAAAAAAAAAATTTTTTTGTTTTAACTGCATTTGGTGTTTTATGTTTTTCTGTAGCTTTCAAATTTTAATGAAAGTATTTTGAATATTTATGTATTTTTGCCTTGCTGCGAAGTGAGAACTGAATTAATTAGTAGCGCATGCGTATTGGGTAAGTGGCGCTGAACTGTCTGCGAAAAACTGTTTCTTTTTACTTCCCTGTATGAAGTAAAAAGAAAGTATTGTAATCGCAAAAAGTTTCAAGCATCATATTTCAATGAAAATATCCATTTCACCACTATCGAATGCAATTTAACGATGTTTTTGTGTGACATCTGTACATAAGGACAGAATAAAGGACTCTTTCCCCCCCAAAAAAATTATAAAACTTATTTAAAATGAATTCTGAAGATAATTTTTCATGGCATCTGTGCGTGCATATATAGTACATATCTCACATAAATAAAAAAACAAGTAGCCTCAGAACATTGAAATTTTGTATATAGGAATGCTATAACATGTAGATGTGCACCTCATATTTTGGTTGCAGTTGGTCGCACCAAAAGTATATATATATATATGCATATCCACTCTGTTACTTGGCTCGGTGATCTCAGTTTCTTTATTCTTATATGTTTGTAAATTGTGCATTTTTTGTTTTAAAGATGATTGAATTATGTTGTTCTTATCTTCCAGTTAAGGTTTTTATGCCTATAGTAAATCTGCACTTGATATTTGTAGAATTATCAACAATTTAAAAGTTGTTTATGTAGTATGGTAAGCCTAATCATTTTTGCCATGGCGGCCATGTTTGTTTACATTTAAAATTCTGCAGAATAAAGCTGCGTTCGCACGTAAAGCGTTAACCAATCAGGAGCGAGTTCAGAGGCGGCATTTGCTGGATGGGCGTAGACCGCGTGAGTTGACTTAACTTCAACTTTTTTACACTCTACGCGTCAGTTTCAGGCATCTCGTTTCAAACGTCCAGTTTATACCATGGTTTTTAAATGATTGCACTTTCAAAAATTCTTCTTGATGGGGAAAAAAAGTCAAATGGACTAATCTTAAAAAAAATTTCAGGTAATAGTAAAAAAAAATTAATCTGCTAATAGAATAAATAGCTTTATAAATTATTTAAAGGAAAATTCTCAAGTTTATTAGCAGTAATAAACCTTAATAATCAACCATAAATGATATATGGTTCATAATCCTTATAGAATAATCTAAAGCAAAAGTACTTGCTTGCGAGAAAATAGTGATCAGTTTCGAAATCCCAGATTTTGGATTTTTCTTAAAATATATCTACATCAATTTAAGGTTGCTAGTAGATAAAACGTTGGCTTCTTGAGTTAAAGAGTTTGGATTCAAGCGTCATCAGGAGTGGTGTTGTTATAGAGTTATTTTTTTAAAAAATATTTACAGAAAATATCGCTAGTTTCAGAGTAGCCCAAATGCTTCTTCAGTTTCCTGAAGGTGAAGTGTGAAATTCACGCTTACCCACAAGGTACCTTAGCGCAGAGATAATGCGCGCAGTGGTTCAGCTTTTACTAAGGACTTGTATTGCGATTCGAGCCTTGCGTTTTCCTACT